GAAAAGAGAAAAATTTCTGCTGGCAATAACTTTGTATTTCTGGTGTATTTCATCTTTCTCTTTTTTCAAGCTGTTTTTAATTTTATCAGCTTTAACCTTAATTCTGCTTTTCTGGTTCTTAACTCTTGAGGGTTATCCAGCCCTTTAAACTGATTTCTGACATGTTCTGTGTGAGGTACAGTGGCATCTGGAGAGACCGAAAGATCTCTTAAACTCTTTTTCCAGGGGGGCTGTAACAGAAGTTCATGGGTATTTGGGAAATCAGTGATAAAGCTCAGAATTATCTCATGTCCTAATGTCCAATCCAGAAATCAGAGAAGCCCAGCTCAGGTGCAGTAGATCTTAAAATGTAATTCTGAGCTCTGAATTCTCATACAACAAAAAGACTTCTAGGCTTACCCAAATCCTGTTACTTTTCCACCTTTTTTTTTTTTTCCTTAGGATCCAGCTTAAGTTTTAAAGACAAAACTCAGCTTGGAAGAGGAAAGGAAATAGCCACTTCTCTAAACTCTTTCAGCTTCACCCTGTCCTACCACAAAACAGGTCTCAGTAAATCACTGCACATGGATTTCTGTATTTAATGGTGAGAGCAGTGTCAGCACCAAAGTCAGCAGCACACACAAAATGTTTGCTGGAAATATACATTCTCAAAGTGCAAGAATTCCAGAGCAAGAAAGCTGCTACCTCAGTCCTTTCAGATAAGGTTAATATTTCAGTTGTTACAGTATTTGTTTCAGGTGTTCATTATAAGGTTGGAACAGCAGTGTTTGAACAAATCACAGCAATTTCTCACATAACTTCAATGTTGGGACTTTGGGTAGTTTTAAAGTTTTGACTTCCATGAATATATGAACACCTGTGTATTGAATTCAGTTTTCTGTAGCTCTCAGCATGGGATATGCGGGCACATACAGGAGAAATCTCCTGTGCATAACCTAGAGGAGATTCCTTTATCCTCCTTCAGGGCAGAAGCCTTCACTGAACCCCTGCTGAATTTTCCCTGCTGGATTTTCCCTGCTGATACACCAAGGCAAGCCAAAAGTCTGGCTGAGCCATCCAACACGACGAGGTAGCTGCAGTTGCCTCAGATGTGAGGGGTGACCTCCGAAGCCTCGTTCCTGGGGAGGATGCAGCAGAACAATGTCATCCTTGTTGCATTCATTTAAAGTCTCTCCTTCCTCCTGAGCAGCACATCCCCCACACAGGCTCACAAAGGGCTGCATTCATCAGAGACCAGCAACTGGTTATAATCCCTTTGAAAGACAACAGGCCGTGCCAGCACTACCAGGGCTTGGTTTAAAATGTTCATCCTTCCTCGCTTCCTCAAGCCCAAGGCTACCTCAGCTGACTCCTGTGCACGTGGAGGTGTTTGAGGGTCTAGGGACCCACCGGGGTGGTTGCATGGGGTGGGGAAAGGGCTCCCAGGGTCAGCAAGTCCTGTTGAAGTGCTTACATGTCGTGTGGGAGCTCGCTGACTTGTGTCCCAGGAGCTGTTTGGTTTCATGCCCACACTCCTCCCACGGACAAGCTGCTGCTCAGCCTTGGTGCTCTGGATGGGGTGAACCTTCTTTGCATTTCCAACCTCAATTTATTCATGGTTGGTTTGCTCTCATTTGTTCCTGTGCCAGCACTGGCCATTAGCTTAAAAAGCTCTCCCCAGTGCTGGATTTAGCCATTTCAGTGTGTGAATAAGGAACAAGAGCAGCTCCTTTTGGCTTTCATTTGCAGAGGATGAGACCGAAGCTGCTTTAGTTCTCCCACTGCAGAGAGGAAATGCTCAGTCCTCCCCAGTGCTCTGCTCATCTCTTGGGCTAAACTGAATTCTCCTGCTGAGTCATCCCAGCCCAGGCCAAGAGGGGTGGTGGCACCCTGACTGAGCCTTGATGCCAAGGGTGTAGCTGCAAAAGCAAAGACTGAGATGGTCATGGTGGTGTGGTCAAGTAGGGCGAGGAGAGGTCCCAGGGGCCTTGAACTGGAGCAAGAATTGATTGTGGTGGTGACGTGAAAACACTGCAGCAGAAAAAGTGAGCACATGCTTAACTCTTGTCAGCTGACCTTAATGCAGAGAGTGGGACTGCCCTGATGTTCCTTGTCTCCCTTCCATCTCTCAGTGTGTTCTCCATTCTGTCCCATGTCCCACCTCTCCTGCTGCCACTCTCCTTCTGCTCTTTCTGAGTCTTTGACAGTCTTATTCTGGACTGTTCTGGGAGGCTGGTCAGAACCTAGCAAGGTGATTGCTTTCACAAAAGTCATCCCCGGCAACCACTAAATGCTCTGAAGGCAGCCCAGGAAGAGCCTGAAATAAATTTAAGCTGCTAGCTGTGCTTACAGGTGTTTTATGTGAGCATCTGTTTGCCAGTGAATTGCCTCCCATTCTTACCAAAACCCAGAAGTCCAAGGAAGTTCCGTGAAATCTTGGCCCAATCTAAAAGCATGTCTGAAATTAATTGTATGAAGCATAGGCCATCACTTCCAGAGCACACAAATACAATTTAGAGCCCATTTCCTGAAATTTAGACCCCTGATGCCCCTGGTCCTCTCAGACTTGAGATCAAATCAGCTCCTCTCAAATTCCTCCTGTCTCCCCATCTTGCATTCCCTTTCATGCCTTTCATGAAACCCAGCAAGAGCCAGCCCCCAGTGGAAGTGGTTTCTGTGGCAACTCTAAAAGTCACCCTTTGGGCGATCCTAGAACTGCAGCTCTTCCCACTGAAAGGACCAGGCACTTCAAGGAAAGCGATAATGGGCAGTCATAAATCGCTGTATGTTTTGGTAGTTGCCGTTGCTGCCAGAGAGATGCATTTGTCACCTAGCAACGACATAAGGTGATGAGGAAACAACAGCATGTTAATCTAATGGCCATGAGTTAACATCTATCAGGGAGCAGCCTCCCAAGCCCAACAATGAGGTGAATATAATTGAGGAGGAAAGAGATACCAAACTTTTCATGCAGTAAGTATGGGAGGAGTGAGCAGAGGTTATCTTCATGTGTGTGTGCAAGTCTGTGTGCATATGCCTCCTCATGGAGGGGATGACAAAAAGCCTGGAGGAATCCCTCAGGCTGGAGCTCGGACACAGAGCTGTCCAGAAGATGGGTCTCATTTTATCAAAACCTGAAGGCAGCAGTACCACAGCAGGCAGGGGGCAGCAGGAGGGTCCCAGCCCACCGTGAATTTCAGTGCAAAACTCCTCTGGGTTTTTGGTGTCCAGTCCTGACTGTCTTAGAACAAGTGCTGAGGTTCTTTATGACATTCATGTATTCAAGCTGCTCAGCTGATCATAGACAGGGAGAGTTTTCCTGATGAAGCAGTAGTTCTTTTCAGTATTGGAATCACTCCTGAAGCAAAAGACAGGGCTATTCATGGATCCCCTTTAAGCCAGCTCTCTCTCCTCTTGACATCATTACAGGAAGTGCAGGACAGGCTTCACAAATTGCCATCATCCCTTGCAAACCCTGTACGGGTCCAACCAGCAGAAAACATCAAAGTTTGCCTCAAGGCCGGGAGCTGAGCAGTGATAGAATTCAATCCTTTCTTCTGGAAATAGATCCAGAACACATGCCACATGTTATTTTTCAGTACCAGGAGCTCATTGAGGTACCTGCCCCCTGAAATACCGGGGCTGATCCATTCGGTGGCTCTAAATTGAAAGTACCCTGGGTGCTGACATGAGGGAAGTAATTGTGAGAGGAAGAAAACTGAAATTAATTCAATGATGGATGACCTCATTGAAGCCTGAAATTGTAAGAGTCACACAGTTCCCAGCAAGGCTGTGCACATTTTTATACTGCAGGAGCCTTTTCTTTAAGAAAACAGCTAAGAAATTGGTTTAGCAATTTACTGTTGAGCAACAATGGAAAGAATTGGTCTGAAGCAGGACAGCATGTTCAAACCATTTATATTGTGTAGCACATGCACTTAGCACCATCATGAGAGATGTTTCTCAGTGGGCATCATTTCAGGGGCTCGTCTTTCATTAGTGCTGAGCTGAAAGTAAATATGAGAGAACACCAGGGCTTGGCCTGGGTTTATGCAAAACTTGAACATTAAATAACAAACCTGTGTTGTGCATGTATATCACAGCTGGTTAGACTTCTTGACCTTTCAGCTGAAGCAAAGCCACAGAGGTACATCTCAAGAGCAGCTCGGCTTTGTCAATCATTACAGAAGTAATGGCATCCCAGCATAATGCTTAACTCTAAACATATTCATGGCAACACCCTCTGTGTTAAAATCTGGAAGAACCACAGTTAATGGTGCATTTCAGCCACAGGCTGTAAACTCCAGTGACAACCTATTACTGACTGCTGAACAAACTGGGATTGTCCCTTCCGAGGGGATCAGAGCTACGGTGCAAACCATCTTCTACCCCTGTTTAACCACATCTCCTGGCTGGCTCTATAGGAATTGAATGTGCAGTAAAATGTGTCCCTTGTAAAAAGCATTGGGGTTTTTTTCAGGTGTATTTTCCTGGCAAACCCTGACAGCTGCATTACAGCAGCACTGGTGCTGGTGGTGGTTGTCTCGGGCTGGGAAGGGTTTCTTTCATCCTTGGTGCAGGTTTAAGGTGGTAGGCACAGTGCACAGGACATGGTTAGAGCTACCTCTGCTTTTTCTGTAAGGCCAGTATTCCATCTGAAGGCAGCATGCCATGGAAGTGTGGCCCACTGCACAGACACCAGTGACTCTTTATTTGTAGCAGGTCCTGTTAAATGCAGCCGTGGGTTAATATGGAACTAAGCCTCAGCAGCAGGAATTTGTGAGCAGCTATGAAAATACCGAAACAACTGCAAGGTGCTGACCTTAAACCAGTGTTCCTTTAACTTCTGTCACCTGTTTGTGTCCCTGCAAACCCAAATGTGCTCCCTGGCTAGCGGTAATTTCTGAGGCGCAGGAAGCCATTGGGTAACGTGTTCTCTGGCTGCAGGCACAATGTGCAGAGGAGTTTTAAAAGCACCAAATTACAGAGGGTAAAACACTGCTGCAAACAAAGCTCTTCCAATGTTTCTCACATTAATAATGTGGAGACCTGGAGCTTTGTGTTTAACATCATGGATCACAGCAGGAACTGGAGTTCTGTCTTTAACCTTCTTCCAGGTAACCAAACCCTTCACTGGGACCAGGCTGATTTTAGGGATTTTGTGGGGGGAAGATTCCAACTTTTATAGAATTTAGTCATCAGCTCTTTTTTTTATTATTATTATTATTATTATTTTGTGAAGGACTTTTTTCAGGACCTAATGAATTTGGGGGAGATTTAATGCTCACAAAAATTCCAATTAATGAAGAGAAAACTTTTGTCCTTTATTCTGTCTGTGGCTATTGAAATGTAAGAGTTTGGGGCTTCAGCAGCGTGGGTGGGTGTTTGGCTGCTCTGACAGATTCCTGCCTCAGAGCAGATGCACTTTGCTGCAGTTTAACTACACTGAGGTGGCTCTGCTGGGCTGGTTTGAAGGATGATAAAAGAGAGTCCAGAGACTGTCATTCAGCCATGAAGAATACTCAGGATACATGTAATCACAGCAATCAGCTATCTGCTTTTGACCTGTTATTTATTAATCAGTTGAAGTGCAAAAAACCCCAAAATAATTAAAATATCCTGCACCAGGGTGCATGTGTGATATGGCAAATTAGCTCAGTTTTAAAAGGATGTGTCTGGAAGAGTTGAAGCTTCTGTCTTTTTCTCTATTCCTCATTTGGGTTTCAGCCACTTGTGAAATTTCAGATAATGCTTTATATGAAAGACTTACTATACCCAAGGACCTCTGACGAAGCTAGAGATTGAAAGGCAGTGTGTGCACAGGATCAGACACATTATAGAGATTTCGGGGGGGCATTTCTTTCTGTTTACAGTGGCTTGAGCTTAGCATAACAAAAAGAACTTGTTAATTAGATATTTAAAATGTGATCTTTCAGTTATGCATATTTGATTCAAATTTCTAATTCAGAACAGAGCCTTCCGGTTTGACTCAAAGTCAAAAATCTCTAAGTGTTTTGGATATATGCAGAGGGAAATCCAAAGTAATTACTTACAAATTACATTCTAATAGTTTTTTCCAAGAAATAAATCTAAATTCCTCTATCTTGTTCATTCTGCTTTCCAGTGTTATCACAATTCTGTACCTGATCTGAATTTCTTGTAGCAACATTGGGCAAGTGTAATAACACACCTTACACGAGTCAGCCAAAAAATCTATTGAATTGGATTCAATTATACTGATGAACTGCTCTGGTTACTTTTTGCACAGATAGTATGAAACTGAGGCTAATATCTACAAGGCTTACAAAAATAAACTGGCTTGAGCTGAGAGTAGAAAATATACCTGAAAAACAAGTTTCAGGTTCACATATTTGCAATACCTGAAACCTGACTCTGGGAATGATGCACCACTACTGAAAACAGGACAATGCTGGGTAGAGCACACTTCTGGTCAAAACAGTTCCAATTTTCTGCTGTCTTCACAATTAGCTCCCCCCAAAAATGAGCCACAGAACAAGAATTTGATAATGGGGCATTTTCAGCAGGTATTTCTGAATAGCAAAGCCCAGTGCAGTGAGCAGGTCTCAGACTCCAACTGGCATTTCCCTGCTCTTGTCTTTCCCTTTTTCACATCAAAAGGAATGCTTTCTCCTTGGCCTAGCTTTCATCTGCAAGCTATTGAATATTTTGAGCTCTTGGTGAGGTTCTCTTGGCTGGATTCAAAGCAGAGACCCAGAGAGGCAGATCCCTAAGGAGACATCTGAGTTCAACCCTGCAGGACCAGCACTCATATGGCTCTTCCTCTCCAACTCCCCACTCTAAGAGCAGTAATTATACTGGTAAATTGTAAAAAACAAACATACCTGCCCTCTGTGATTTACATGTGTGTTTTCAGTCAGCAGACTCTGGGTCGGACTGTGAGCTTGACGAGAGGTGAGTGTGGCTTCATTCTCCCACCGCGGCTGCCCCTCCCCAGGCTCTTTCAGGGGTGCTGTGCTCCTGGCACACCAGCACAGCAGAGGAATGAGAGAGGAATTTTCCTTTTCCAGGAAAAGGCCATTTAGGGTTGGGGTTTTTTTTCAAAAGAGGAAATGGAGGCTGGCAACCCTTTGGGTTTTCAGCAAAAATGCTGGTGGCAAGTGCCAGTGTTGAAAGGCAAACAAGTGGCACTCTGCTTCTGGCATCATCTGCATTGCTCCCATCCACACAGAGAAACTTTTAATTTAATTTTTAATGGCGTCCCTTCATGGAAGTAGACTTCTCAATCTTCTGCTTACTGGTGGTGCTTGTCTTTGTGTTGGTAGATGTGCTGGGGTGGGTACAACAGCCTCCTCACACTGGACTGAAAGTCCTTTTAATTCTTCCCTTTTTAGGTGCATTGGACAGAGCGATGAAAACTTTAGCAGCTGGTATGTGTGGTAAGTTTCAGATCTGCTTGAAGGGAAAAAACTGGCAAATAATATTCTTTGATGGATATATGGAGAGAAAGGCATTAAGAGAGACTGATAGCTAGAGAGCATTGCTCCTGGGCTGTCCCTGTGTTCTGTCTTTACAAACTAATGGAAATCATTTATCCATATCCTCCTCACTGTATGCTGACAACTGAGCTGGGAAAAAACGGTGGATGATTTCAGGGAGAAATGTTTGAATTTCCAGCCAGCACTGGCTGCTGAGCACTCAGGAGTGAGACATTGGTTTCTGGGGACTTTGATCATGTCCAGTGTGCTGGTGGGGAAACCGCAGCATTTAAGGGCTGTTCGCAAAAGATGTTAATGGATATGTTAATTTGCGGACGTGCAGCCATCTGTCGGTGCTGCCCGCAGATGGTGACGGCTCTGTTCCTCCCCTGCTGCCTCTGCCTTAGGTTCCTGCTGTTGTTTTTCCTGGCCGTGCTCCTGTCCTGCGGGATCTGCTGCTGCCTGCAGTGCTGGCTGAAGCGGCGGAGCTGCCTCCCCCGACGCGCCGTGGCTGTCTTTGCCCTCAGCAGCTCGGATGCCTTTTGTGGTTAGTCCTGCCCCTGCTGCAAGGTCCTGCTGACCCTGGTGGCCTTACTGTGGTCCATCCATAACCCAGGAAAAAGCAGCCAGGCTTGAGTGGGTGCTGGGGTGCAGGCAGGGGCTGTACTGCTGGTGAGCAGTGGGGTGTCCAGCTCTGGCCTCTTGGGGACATGTCCAGACCATGGACTGGGGAGCTGAAGCCACATCTGCTTTTCCCTGAGCCATGTCTTGGTGCTGTCCCTGTTGTCCATGTGTCCTAAAGGTGCCTAGTGAGGCTTGGCCGGGCAAACACTGGAGGTGTGTGGGATTTTCTCCTCAGTGTCAGGCCGCTCAGCAGCCCAATACATGCAGCCACAGGCTTTGGGGTCAGGCAGCCCTTTCCAGTACATGTCCTTCATTTCTCACTCAGGCAAAACTGTACTGGGCTAACTCAAGCCACCTCAGTAGACAGCCTGACTGGCTAACACACCCTGGGGTCTGTCAAAAGATTGTGCTGGTGGGTGCTGTTCATCGTGGCAGCCACGCTCAATATTCCCCCAGGAGCACCCAGGATTTGGGGACTGGGCTGTGATGACTGTGTAGCATCCAGAACTGACCTGGAGTATGGCCAGCAGCATCAGCAGGCTGAGCCAAACAACATCCCTCCAAGAAAAATAAAGCCAATCCTGTCATTAGGCTAAGCCCTTCCCAGAGGACATATTACCTGCTTTCTGTGTGGTCATAGACAGTGTCTCCACAGGGAGGACCCACCCCAAACCCACCCAAATTCCTCTGTCCCAACTTCTTGTATCTGGAGTTCGTGGTGAAAGACTTTGTGATGCCATACTTCAAAAATTACATCCATGCCCTTCTTGTTTCCAAGTGGTTTGGCAGCTCCTCCTGGGCTCACCCCTCTCACTCCCACACTTGCCCTTCACACCTGTCTGCTGTACAGTTGTGACTTTGCTTTTTCCCCAGCTACTGAAGCAGCTCCATGCCCATTCTCCGGATCCCTGAGCCCCTGCATGACTGCAGAGATTTCCTCTTCTCCTGCCCCATGCTTCAGCCTTGCGGGAACTGAATTGCCTCCATCCTATGAGGATGTTATGAAGGAAAACAAGGTCTAGACACCACATGTTGGTTTTCATTGATCCTGCTTGGTCTATCAGAGATCTTCCATCATGCTAAAGGAGTGTGAGATCAAATCAGCCTTTTCCACAGGTTGGCCGAGAGACTGAAAAGCAGCACATATTTCATCTGAACCTGAAAGACAGGACTAAATGCAACAGAATAAATGCCAAAAGTATGTGTTGAATCTGTCACAGGAGTTCAGCTTGACATTTTAATATCTCTGGATTTCAGGAAGCTTCCTCAAAGACCTGTCTGTATTTGGGGTTTCTGGCTCAGCCTCTAGATTTATCTCTCTAAGGCTGCTTGAGCTGGTGCAACCCCATGTATTTTAGGACCAAATGTTGATAAATGACTTGATAGCTGCTTCTCAAGCTTGGGCTGCCTCCTTCACTCGGCACTGTGCCAAGAAACACCCTCTGGCAAAGTCATGTTGTTCTAATACATTGCAATGCAATCATGCCACTCTGTGATGGAGGATCGTTTGCCACATTTAAAATATTTAGCACAGCATATCAGATTTGTCTAGTGCAAAAGGCAGCAAATTTATGGCCAGGGAAGAGAAAGCAAGAGACAGGGATTATGGAGGAGTAGCAGTGGCAGGAGCTGGTTGCAGAGCACTAAAAAAAAGTGAGTTTGCTCATTTGAGTTGTTCTTAATTTCATGGTGACTGTCCTCAGTACTCTAGCCCTAGCATTGCAGACCAGAAGGCTTTGAATGGCCCAGGACCTACATGGAAGTTCCCCACAGACATGAATTAGGGACTTAGGTACTTAGTACTAAGCTACAGAAATCTATTAGGATAAAGAATGACATTTTCTTTGAGGTGATCACTGCAGACAGTATGGAGAAATACTTTAAGAAGCCATCCAGACTGCCTTGCTTCCAAGCGGGATCAGCTCAACCAAATTAATTCCTTGGAGGAGGTATTAGCCTAACTAGTTCTCAAATTACTGAAGAAAGATGCTGAATTTCCCCTGTAGCTGGATCCAGATGAAAGAAAATATTCCCCTTTGTTTGTGGTGGGCAGGTCCCTGAAGGCTGATTTCAGCCTGCCTGACCTCTCTGTCTCTGCTCTCTCAGTGGCAAGGGCTGGGGGTGCAGTCAGACCTCTCTTGCTGCAGAAATGTCACCCCTGGTCCCATGCTCTGTACTCCCATGGAGCCATGAGCTCAATTTGGGCAGAATTTTGGAATTTTGGGTTAGAATCCCTAAGATTAATGGAAGCCCAGAGCCTGCCTCATGGAGTACCTCCCCACCTGTAGAGTGAGGTTAGCACCAGTTCCCATGCTCAGGAAGGAAACTGGGAAGATAGATGCACTAAAGTTTATCATATTCTCATAATGATTCTATGTAAGTACATTTTCTAGATGTAGAAGAATTGAAGCATATTTTGAGAAAAAATTATTTGCCAGCACCACTGCAAATTATCTCCCTAAAATCTTATTTTAGAAGCAGCTTTAATGTTTGACTCTTGTGTGAAAGGAAATAAATGTTACTTGTAGCCAAATGAATGCTTGTGCCAGCAGGCTAAAATATTACTGGATTGATTAATAGGAAAAATTTGCAAGTACAGACTCAGCCAGGGGAGAAATCAAGCAACTTCTGAGTGTCCTTTTGCTGGCTGAACTTAGTAAGAATTGCAGGTAATCAGCACCTCTCAGGATCAGATCTTTCATGTACATAACTGCTTCCACCACTCAACCCCTTCAATTTATGCCCTGAAGCATGAGATTTGATTATGTTTGTCACTGCAGCTTGCATAGCCTGTTAGTGGGCATTAAATCAGCTGTCACTTGATTCCCACCTACACACTGTTTGCTTCAGTGACCCCTTCATGGCACAGAACTCCACAGGTTGTCTGCATTATGTGCTGCATAAAACATTACTGCCTCCTGCTTATTAATGGCTCGGCTCTAAATAAATCGCTGCCTTTAATTTCACTGAATGTCACCTTCTAATCAGATGGCTGGAGAGGCTAACAAGCAAAGATTGCTCAGGTTCCGATGCCTCCAATCCCTCTGCCCTCTCTCTCAAGGGTTCCCGAGGTGGTAAATCCTTCCCCAGCCACCCAACAGAGGGCAAGCAAGACTTTCAGCACACAGAAACACGCGAGGGAAGGGTCTGTTCCCCTGCTACTTGTGTGCATTCAAGTGCGTTCAGTTCCATGTTTGAGGTGCTTTAATTATGCACAAAAGGAATCAAATTATTCCATCAGAACTGAGATTAGTGGCTCAGAGTAAAGTAAGCTAGTGGCTGTCACAAAACCAGGCTCCATCTGTGAGAACCTGTGTGCTGCCGTACCTGTGCAACATGACAGGAGCCACAGGAGCTTCCAAAAACTGCTGAAAGTCAGGAGGTATCTGCAAAAAAGAGCTTGTGTAGGGCTGCTGCAGGGAGGACATAAACTAATATTGCTGCTGGCTTGGGGTAGGGAAGGGAAGTACCCTGAGAAGGGGCTCAGGGCCCGTTCCTGATCACTGGGATGGAGAAGAGAGTGGATTTCTTCCTTCTACAAAAGCATTTTGGGTGACCCCACCAACCTAGTATTCCCTGTGGAAGCTGCTTCTCCCAGTTTGCCACTTCACTCCTGTGTTCTCCAGCAGAATGAACAAGGTTTCTCCAGGTCTGTGTTCCCATTCTTACACAAGCAGATATTTTGCTGGATAATTGATATTTTTATAAGAACTCAGCTCTTAATGAGCGCAGTTAATGCAGTTTGGCTGATGTTTCCAGAATTGCAAGGAAAGAAGAACCATTTCCTTATAATTCTTCACCTTAGGAATAGGATTCACCTTGGAAAAGCACTTGTCCTGCTATGACTCTCTGACTGCCACTTGTCCTCTGACTTACACTTCCTGCTGACTTTGAGAAGAAATGGCAAACAGCTCTAGAGAAAGGCAGAAAACACTAGAAGGCAGATGTGTTTGTGGAAACTTGTCATCAGCAAGACCTGTGGGGGGAAATGGGAGCAGTGCAGAGGAGCCAATTGCTTGATGACCATCTGGAACCAAAGACAAAGGGAACGTGGCTGGACTTTCACCTCTGCAGATTAAGAGCTGAATAATAAAGTCATAAAGTGGCTCCCCAGCAAAATAGAACAAAACCAGAGGTAGCTGAGCCACAATAGGGCATCAGTTTGGAATGCCAGGAGGCTTGGACAAGAAAGATGGGAAAATAATTTATATGCTCATTAATTATTTGTCTTAAATTGTCATCCAAAATTCTGCACTATGGGCTGAAGACTTCTGTGCAGACGGGGCTGGGGACAGATGCCCGCTCTCTTTGGGTCACTAGATGGCACAATTCTGGCTCTTTTCCTCGCTCAAAGGCATTTTACAGCAGGAACCCAGGAGCTACAGGGAGAAAATAGTTCTCGCTGCCGTAACGGCGGTTGGACAGAGTATTTCAGTCATTAATCACTTGCCCACAATATTTAACAGATGCAGAAGAGCAAGCTGTGGGAGTCCAGCCCCAGCTGAGAGAGAAAACCTTGCATTCTTGGTGGAATTTTACTTTTTTCTCTTGGAAAGTTTATGAAATTACTCTAAGTAGATGTGTCTAAGCTGGGACAAAGTCTTCAGCTGCTGAAGATGCATTGCTGCAGGTGTACACTGGGGTCTGAGCTTTGTAGCTACCAGAAAAGGTCTAGGCAGCCTCCAAAATCACTCCCCCATGCCCAAGGGCTGGTCCTATTTGTGCTGCTGCCTTTTGTGTGTCCTTGCAGGACAGCAGTGGTTCCCCTCACAGGAGTCAAAGCAGGTCACTTGGCAAAACACCTTCTGAACAAAACCTGGCTGTGGGTTAGAGAGCTGCAGCACTCAAAGGCAATTGTGTTTATTATATCCCACTGATGTTACACTGTGTAAGAAAAACACAGTTCTGCACTGCTGCTCCTGTCTACTGGAAATAATTGTCCAGTTCTACTGAATTTGCACCAAAATCACATGGCAATGTCAGTGAAAAGGCAGGAAATCCGTATCTTGGGAAACATTGGTGCGGCTGCAGTAGGAGATAGCCTAGTTCACAAGGTCACAGTAAGAGTTAACACTAATTACAGCTGGAGATGTTAAAAACCCTCATGAGTGAGGCTGATGGAGGCAGGGAGAGATGCTGCAGGCAGAAAAGGACAGCCATTGCAGATGTCATTTTTTTCTCTCTCACTTGCCTGTATCAAAATGGGAAATCAATAGCTATCTGTAAGGTGTGGAATCAACTTAGCAAAGATCTTACCTGAACACTTTACTGCTTTCCATAACCTGCACACAGCTGGATCCCTGGCAGAGTGCACAGAGCTGTCAGGGGAGAGGACAATGGGGAGCCCCAGTTCAAGGAAGCACCCTGGGGCAGGCACACAGGGAGGAAAGGTGCTACTCCCAGCTCTCAGCTAAATCCCTGACTCTCCCTATGCCCCAGGAAACGAAGGCTGAGGTGGCCAAACATAGAAAAATACCCCTTGTAAGCTAGTAAAAATATGGAGAAACCTAAAAAGCTGTTGGAATTGATGGATTAAATGTTGGGCCTCAGCTCAGCTGGTAATTGCAGTTGAGCAAAAAGCCTTGGTAGACCATCAATAGCCATCAGGAGGGAAAAATCAGTCTATTGTCATTCCTAGTGAGCTGCTGCTGAATGGAATGCAGGTATGTATTAAGGAAATACTTTAATAACTGAGCTCACCTGATATATCTTTAGCCTTAGGGACTGGTTGTGATTTTGAAAGAAAAAAATAAATCCTGTTTACTTTCTGGGAGGTTTCTTGCTAACAAATATACAATTAAACTAGAATAGATCTCCATTGTTACCTGATAATGAGCTAATGAGGAGTGCATCCTGCAGTCACGAAACCAGTGTCAGTATTAAATCTAACAGGGATTAACAATTAAATATTAACAGTTGATCAAAACATCAGATAGACTGTCAGCAGAATTTGAATAATGAAACAATGCACTGGTTACAAAACATTAGCCTAGCAAAACTAAGAGTTGCTGTGATCTTTTCCTGATCCTCTTGTGCAGGAGATAGATGTTCAAAACCTACCATAGAGTTTGGCTAGAATAGAAGTATGATTAAGAAATTAACTCTTATTCTATACAGATACTGAAGAAGAGAGGCTCACAAGTGTTGATGGAATATTCTTTCTGATATGCAAAGAATATCTGTACATAAATTCTTTGCATGTGAAGTGTATTTGAGGAGGATGAGTTAAGGTGGTATTTGGGGTATGTGTGTGCTCTATTTGTGTACCCCAAGGAGGAGCACAGGACTGGAGGGAATAAAGAAACTAATCCTTAATATTCACCTCTGATCAGGGCATAGACATTCAGTGCCCACTGAGCTACTGCTTGGTGTGACCCACGTGTTGCAAATCACAAAACAGCTCCCACCACCTTAAAACGAACTGAAGACCATTACAACAAAGGCCCAGTGTCAAGCACTGAACAGGAGAAATCAGTGGTCTGAGATTTGTAATTACACCTGCATTTCTTCTCTGCTAAACAAGAAATAAATCTTCCTGGCAAGAAATAACCTTTGTGCTCAGATAAAGTTATAGAAAACAGGATCAAGAGGCTGGCAGGCATCCCTGGGTGTTTGTGGGGTGGCATAATGTGCTGGCTGCACAGGCTGGGGAGTTTTTGATTCAGAGTTGATGATGTCTTTGCTGGGAACCTCCTCCCCAGGAGCATCTCTGAGCTGGGTGAGCCAGGCTGAGGCTGCCTGCAGCATCTCTCCTCCCTCGGGGACACTCAGGCAGCATTTGCCTTTCTGGGCAGAGTGGGGATGTGGGCAGTGGAGCAGTCACTGAACACAGCTCTGCCTCTGGGCTGTGTTCACCCTCCATCTCCTTCCCTGTGTGTCTCTGAAGGAGCAGGGGAGCAGGGACACAGCCCAGGAAGCAGATCCAAAAATGTTCCCGGAGTTTCCCTCCCCTGGCAGAGAGTATCAGCAGTGTCAGCTCCCCTCCCTCAAAGACCCACAGAAAATACATTTCTGATGTGGCTGTAAAAAAGTTTAAAAAAATAAAAACAACCACCAAACTCTCTCTGAATGCAGTTCCTGCAACACCAGACAAAAATTCTTGTCACCTCCAGATCTCTTTGTGCATTCCTGGTATAATCCATGAATTCATCACATCGCTCATAACTCTTGTACTCGTTGTCTCTCAGGACCTTGTAAAAAAGCCTCCATCACCTCTCCTACTGTGTTTACATCTGTTTGATATAGCTCATCTGTTGGCAGTAACCTGCTCTCAGTTTGGCTGACATAAACGTCTGCCAGCCCAAGCAGCACGAACTCTGCAGGCACAAGCCTCCCTTGCTTGGGGAGAGCAGAGCTGCCACCAGGGCTCTTGCTGAGATGGTTGTGCTGTGCTCTGAGCCCTGTGGAGGTGCCTGGGCCTGCAGCAGAGCCATACAGGCCTGCTGTTTTCTGTTTGTTCCTGGCCCTGGGTGCTTCTTGACTTGGAGCCAGGTCAGGGCTGGGTTATGTTTTGGCCTTGCTGGTCAGTTCTGTGCTGCAGTACAAGGTGCTGCTTCCAGGATAACCCATCAGAGGACTCAGCCCTTCATTTTCCATCACGGCAGTTATCAGAAGTGCTGCTTGGGATACAGCTCGCTCCATCCTCAGCCAGCCCATCTGCCTCTGGCCCACATAACATAAGGTTTCACTTCACACTGTCTGGGAGAAGGAAATCCAGCCTCCCCATGGAGCCCGTGGAGAAAGCCTACCTCTGGTAGTGCTTCAGCACCCACAGCTGGACACACCCAGCTGAGGCTCCACCTTTGTTTCTCCACTGCCCCTAAGCAGATAAATCTCTGTGCTGGGAGACTTTTCTCAACCCTCAGTGTCCATGATATGGTGTGATGCCCATGGTCAGAAAGGACTGAATTTGGACAGTTCCTACCAACCCTAAGAAAACTCTGTCCCAGTTTCTCCCTCTATTAAAGGCATGAAAGAATGTTCACAGCCATCCTTAGGGAACATACTAAGCTAAACAGGTTTTTCCTCCCTTACCCTAGTGAAGACCTGGCTGATGCTCCAACTGCATCCAGCCTGGATTGCAGCAGGGGCAGCAGTCCTGAACTAGGTTTAAATACTTTTCGATGGAAAGGGACAATAGATTTTAGTATCACTTATCCTAGTTTCTAGCTGATGTAGGCATATTGTAATGCACAAGTTCAGATTTTGGATCTTCACTCACTTTGTCCAAGCAATGTTTTTATTAAAGCAGAATGAAGCTGGCAATTTCCAGATTTCAGCGAGTTTAGAGCATTTGTAGTGTGCCTTTTAACACTGACTGAGAAGGACTGTATTTTTCAGGGAAGAATGCACCTGTATTTACAATCTTTTCTCAGTGCGGAGGGTCATGGACCAAAGAGAGGGTCAGACATTTAACACAGCTCTTATCTCCTGAAAAGCTCCCCAGGTGCTTCCAAGTGGGGCAGACCCCCATACTGAGTGCATGGGGTCCAGATGTTGGTCAGACAGTCAGTCTCCCCCTTTGCCAGGATTTTCTCCTCTGTACACGGTTGACACATTGCCAGACATGGAACAGATCCATCTTGCAGTTTGGGGATCTTCATGCAGAACACTGCAGTCTGATTCACAAATGGCTGATTTATCTCACTTCTACAATAGTGTTGAGACAAATGCTGAAAAGAGTTTATGTTGGTTATTTCAGTCTGTGCTTATGCAAGTGGCCCATCATCACTCAAGACAAGAGGATTCCAGAAAGCAGGATCTTCTGAGTTTACTTTCTTGAATGAAAGGTATTTTGAAGCTCTCATAATGCAAATGTAGCATACAGCAGATCCTTCAAATTAAACTGCATCTGTATCACAACCACAAGAGCTTGAGTCTCTGTGCAATCCACTACAAATAAAAGCAGAGCTGTTTCTGGAGCACCTACCTCCTCCTCACACCCTTGTGTCCACCGCGTACATTTTGGAGGTGGCTGTTGGCGAGGATGGCAAATGCGCGTTTGTTACGACGGTGGCAGCTGAGGAATAGCCTTTCCTCAAGGAGTAGGCAGAATGGAGTCTTCCAGAACTGGTCTCTGTGAGGCACAGGGAGAGAAATAGGAACTGCTAATGAGTGTTTGGTGACTTTCAGCTGCAAAGTTTCGTTATTCAGGGAAAGCGTCACTCCAAGATGCGACGTAGTAACAACACACTTTATGTCATACTTACACCTCAGCTCCTTCATGAAGACCTTGATGTGCTTTCTAGAGCTGCCTAAGACTATTCCCATTTTACAGGTGAAAATATCACCACTGGAGATGAGCAACCATGCCAAAGGCCTTTCCCCACCCTGTGCACCTGTAGCACACCCTGAGCAGTGGCTCTATCCCTGAGCTGTGCTTCAGCCGTGCCTCCTCACCTCTGAAGAGATACATGCAGCAGGTCAGCAGGGACCCAGACAAGAAGCAGCCAAGTGACCCTGCCATGCCGAGCCAGCAGGACCAACCAAACTTGTACTGGATGCCCAGGAACACGTTGTGGAGAAGCAGAGAGGAGCGCTCCACGTAGACATCCACGGCGTACCACACGGAGCCCGTGATGCCAGGGAGACCTGCAGGGCAGGAGAGAGGTCCCACACACACAACCATGAGGGATCAAATCTAAAGCTATAGCTGCTGTCTGACTTCAGTGTGGGAAGCCCTTCCTGGGATGGCAGGTTTTGACCCCTGTACATCCATGCTCAGCCTTTGGTGGATTCACCCTGGCCCCTGCTGATATCCTGTGCTGCCAGGCAGAGGCTGCACCTCACGGCTTGGCACTCACACACACCTCCAGCACACTGGCAGCACTCAGGTTTCTGCAGCAAAAGGCAGAAAGCTCCTCCCCTCTCAGCTGCTTGTGAAGCTGTCTCCAGAATTTAATATTCTGATCTGTTTTGATTTTCAGAACTTTGATGATGTTTTTCAGACAAACTTTGAGAAGTGAATGGAAGATGTTTAAAAGAGCCTCTTCACATGTTTTACACATGCTCCCAGAGGCTGGGGTGAGCTATTAAATCTGTTTAGACTGAAGAAGAGATAGCTCTTTGATATTTGCATTAAGTCAAATGATATTATTTGATACCTTGTTGGCTATTTATTTTTGTATTTAAAATTCTCCCACTGGCTGTAACAGCAAAGCACCTCAGCTACTTGGATATTTATCACCTAGAAGGGACAGATGTGTTATTATCCTTTTATTAGAGATCCACTGCAGAGATTTTGGGCTAAGTAACTTGCCCAAGGTCACACAATCTGTGGCAGAGCCAGGATCCAAACCAGGATGCCAGGACTTTCTAGTCCTTCAGCAATTGGTCTAGAGAACTGCAGCAAGGTGTCTGCCATACCCACAGCCTTGACTGCTCCACAGTGAAACAGCAATAAATGGCAGTCAACTCAAAGCCAAGTCACCTGGTCAAGCTGAGCTGAAAGCAGATAAACTTAACTGAGTGCTGTTCGAGGCAGTTGGTGAACAGAAGAAGCTGCATTACACAAATAAATCAAATAAAGATCCTTCCTCCTGCAGAAAATCACCAACCAAAAGAAAATAAAGCTTTTAAAGCTTCCCCACTTTGCCAAAGGGTGTCCTACAGAATGGGGACGCAGTGGGGAAATACCTGCAAGGAGCAACATAACCCCAGACGCCAGGCAGATGCGCAGCTTGATGAGTGGCTCATCGGGAAGGAATTTCACACAGTCCAGTCCCAGGACCAGGAAGAGAAATCCAAATCCTGACAGGATGTCTGCTGTTATCATCATGGCTCGGGTCAGCACCAGCTTCACTGCAGGACAAAAGTAAATCATTCTAGTGCACAAGGAATGGCAATGTGGGCAGGTAATGGGGTCAGATCCCATAAGAACATTTTTTTTTTAGTGTTCACTTTTTTCAGCTTCCCCTGGGAGTAACACCTGACTGAGAAAAGAAACATGCCTCTAATTATCTGAGTAGAAGAGATACTCTTTGTCTACACTCAAGTGTCCCCACCACTCGTAGAAACCTCTCTGACTTTTACATACCAGAATGCTCGGCGTAGATAGAGTCGTACTCATCACAAGTTTGGATGCCATCAAAAACGTTTGTGACACATTCCCACCACAGGCCACGGCATTTTGTACTCACCTGTGGATTGAGAAGACAAAAAAAGACAGTAGGTTAAAATATCCACCAACACAGAAGGTGGTCATCTTAGCTCTTCAACAGAAATCCTGGTCCAGTTACAATGATGGTAAACCAGAATGTTTAGCTTGAAGAGAAAAAGCAGAAGGATGGATGAAAAGGACAATATTTTCTGCATCCCTACTAATGTTTTTACATTACAGCAAAAGAATTTGGACTAAGCATTAGGAAAAAAAAACCTTGCCTACTTGTGAGGATAAAAATTTTGAAGGAAATTTCTGGAAGGAGCTGGGGAGTAGCTGACCAGAAGGATATAAGAGTAGGTTTGCTCACTCATTGCCAAACACTTGTTCAGGCTGAGCTGGGCAGGGGCATGGACCAGACAACCTGAGACTTTGCTGCGTGTGCTCCCCTTCCTTACACCATCCTCGTGACGGAGGAGCAGCAGCTCAGAGAGTGGGAGAGGAGTGCAGAGGAGTCTGGATGTGAGCCCCTGTGCAGACACCTGGGGAGGGCAGCCCCCAAATGACTCAGCTGTAAACACTGGCTGGAAAATGAGAGGCAGCCGGTGCTGATCCTGGCCCTGGGGCTCCCGGTGTGCTGCCAGCCATGGGACCACGTGTGGCCAAGCCACAGTCATCACTGAGACATCCAGACTGGGGCAGACGATGCAGTAGCATCGTGGTTAATGGTCTCCGCTCTCCTCAAGCCGTAGATACCATTTCCAGCCCAGCCTTCCATAAATCACTTTCATATGGGAGGCGTTTTCATTACCAATGCAAATATGGCAACAAGCACCTCTAAAATATTCCTGGAATTGCTCATACAAGAAGCAGAGTTAATGTCGGTGCAGCTTTGGACTCCAGCCCGCCCACTGCTGCCAGCGACAGCCGCTGCAGTTAATGGAAAGAGAAACTCTTCCAGCAAATGAGTTTCACGCAGGGGAAGGGGACCAGGCTTGCTTGGATGATGCAATAAATTCATTTTTCTTGCACTGTGTAAATCACAAAGCAGATAATAATATATCTCAGACACATAATAAAGTCTTATTCAGGATGTACTGAAGTCTGTAGCCAACCTCAATATTTTCTCAACATCGCAATGTCTGAGCCAAGCTGTGCACCTCCTCTGTGATACTGCTCTCTGGATCAAAGGTGAGGATAAATGACTCTCTGCTTCAGACTGGCGGAAGAGATACTATTTACATTTGAACAAAAATAATCTACATGTTTTGTTTCATGAAGATGAAAAGTGCTTAACATTTCTGAGAATTTCAGGGCATATTTAATGAAAAATATGATGAAAAATGAGAAGCAGCGATGGAAAAAAATAATTTCATTGATTCTCTACTTTTCAAGAGAGCATAGTCTTGGAAAACAATTTGCCATGTTTTCATTCAATGTATTTTTACCATGGCCCTCTTAATGCAGTTGCCAATCCTTTCCTGTCTTAACTCACCATTGTTCAGGCTGAACAATGAAATTGAAATTAGCATACTTTTATTAAATTACATTTTGTTCCACTTGCATTTATATAATTTTTCTTTCTTCCCAAACCACCATAGGCTTATTTATACTACTCTTATTCAGCTCTTATTCTTATATACTACTCTATATTCAGCTAATGTCACTTACTTCCTCACTTGCTGATATTATTAGTTTTTTAAACCCTACAAGCAGCACCTACATCTACATTATTTGTAAAGAGACTAACAGGATTCCAGGGTTTGTCACCCTCCAAGCAAAACAGAGGTCTTAAGCACAACAGTTATGGTCTAGCTTGTGAAATAACCCCCTTCCCAGACTAACAAAAATTTGGTTAAGTTTTTTTGTTTCTTTAGATGTTTCAGTTGTCTCTACTCCTGCTAGAGCCAGCAGGGGCAAAGCAGGAGCCAGCCCATCTCCACACAGCCTGTGTGCAGCCAGGGACAAATGTCCTATTGCCTGGTGCAGGTGTGGGGACCTGTGGCTGCCCTGAGCCGCTGCTGAGCTATTCTGCTTTCTGCTGCTGAGGGCCAGCACTTGCTCCCCTCTGCTTTGTGCACTGCTGATCCTTCTGGCTTTCTTAATCTGCTCCCCAGAGTTAATCTGCTCCCCATCCACCCTTGGGCACCTTCCCTTGTGCTGACAGCACAGACCTTCAGGCACACAGGAACTCGCTGCTGTAAAGGGCACAGGGGTCGGGGCATGGGGCATCCTGCGGGGACATGGATTTCCCCATCCCATGGCTGGACCCCTGCACCATGTTGGTAGCACAAATTCCCCATCACCTCTCTCCCCCTATAGCAGATCTGCTCCAGCTTCCCTGGCCCCAAACGAGGACTCCCTGAGCAGCCAAACATCACAGCTCCTCATCCCCTGCTCCGATTACAAAACACGTTGCCACGACCTGCTTTCCCTAACATAAGTATGCATGTAAAACATGAACTGCATAATGACTGTAATACATATAATTATATCCTATCCATAATGTATAATTAATATTAAAATAATTCTCATACAGAAAAAAAAAAGGAAAATTACAGAACAAGCACACACACTTCTGGGGAAAGCGGAGAAGACAAACACGTAAGAGATGTTAGTCACAGTGTTTCACCACACTCTGAGAAGGTGCCAGCAGACAATGATTACAAGCCCAGCTTGAGAGTAAAACAGGCAGCGTTTAACAGTAGTGGTGGTATTTATAATCCACCCGCAACAGGGAGGGACTGTCTACACAATACAGCACTCGTTGAAAAGCATATTATGGGCTTTTTCCACTACAAACTACCGCAAAAATTGACCCGGCCCTGTCTTGATGCTTCGCAGGGAGTCACCAACTTAAACAACTTTCTGGATAGCTGTAACCTGTTGTTTCTGAAGGGAGGTGAGGGCTGTGGAAGCTGAATCAGGGCCCCCGCAGCCTCGCTGGAGGTGGCTCCTCCTGGCACTCCCTGGCCTCTTCCTCTTGGGATGTTCCTCTCCAGTGGGACCACAGAGAGGGCTTCATCCTCCCCAGCTGCTGGGGGCCAGGGTCAAAGGCAAGCAACCAGCCAAGAGCCAGCAGCTGCTGAAGGATGGAGGTCCCTTCTCCTGGAGTCAAAGTTGCCTAATTTACCCTTTTTCCAGCTGAAAACAGGAGTCACTGAGGACTCTATGCCTTTCTGGCAGTGGACATTCCCCTGTTTAGAGAGGCAGTGAGTCATTAGGGTCATTAAGGAGATCAGTGGTCAGGTATTAAGGCTGGGGGCGTTTTGCTTCATTATTTAGTATTCACACTCAGATCCGGAATGTGAGAATAGTGGTTGCTAGTAACCAAACTGGGTGTTAATGGAGCACTTCGGACAGCCCATCCAGGTGCCTTTGTGCCAGGAAGACAAGGTTACACAGCCTCAGGGCAATGGACCTTTACTGGACTCACTTTGCTCAAGAGCTGGGCTTCTCTCATCTGATTTTCCTCCCAGCTGGATTGCCTTGGCTCTTCTGAGTACATTGATAACTTCATCTGAGTACTTCTTAAAATGAAAGAACCCATCCAGCATCACCGGGTGCACTCTATTTGTAAAGAGGCTCACTGGGCAGACACACTGACCTTCAGGAACTGCACTGTATTGGACCATCACCTCAGCACTTACATCCACCTCCCAGGGTTTCTGACAGTCAGATTGTCAGGATTTCTTGTAGCACAGAGGAAAAAAATAGTTTTTCTTGTAATTAGTTTTGTCCTTCTTCCTTTGGATAATTCACCCCTTCATGTGCTGCAGCTAAATTCTGCATTGCAGTCACTGAGGGCAGAGGAGCTCAAGGTTTCATATGCTGGATAGCAGATAGAACTTGTCCTCCTGATACATTCAGCCAAACTTTCTGTCCTGGAAGGTGTTTCACCTTCACTGCCTAAACAACCCAATTTGCCAGAGACCAGCTCCTACACTGTGGACTTGCAGCTTAAATGTACAGAAATGAATGGCCGTGTTGGGAAGAAAATCACAAATTTACTGTATTGAGTGCTGAAGAAACAGTGATGATCTGGGGCCTGGAGTCTTTGGGGCACACCTTGCCTGTAAGCAGCAATCTGCTTCCTTGTTTGCAATTAACTTTTACCAATACCTTTCTCTGATATGAGAGTGCTACTGTCCACATGAGTTCCAGGAGATATTGAGTCCCCATGCTCCCCTTAAATTTCTGGTAGCCCTGTAGCTCAATGGCTGTTCAGTAAAAGACTTGAAGAGCACAGTTGTACACGCTGGATGTCTCCACCAAGAAGTCAGAACCACAGAGCTAGAAACGTCTCCAAAATATCCATGCAGGCTGGAGGTCAGAATCATTCCTCTCAAGTTCCTGCACATCTAAATCTAGAGCCTGTAGATCTTTCCTCAACTTACTAAGTAAGAGCACGGCCTGGATAAAAAAGTCTGGCAAAGAGAATTACACAAAGTACCACTTTTCTCCTACTCTTGCCACAGTAATTATTTTCATACTCATCCACTGTCATCCAGCACAACAGGGAGAAAGAACATGAGAGTGGAGTGGAGCAATGATACCAGGAGCAAACTCTCTCTAAGACACATTGATTTTGGTGATCAGGCTATCCCTTACCTCCAGGGAGTCATCAGCATTCACCATCCAGCAGTCTGTCCAGGTAGATATTATCAAAAGCCCAACGGAGAAAAAAGCAAAAAAGCAGCCCACATATTGGAAGAAAAACTTCATGCTCAGCACATGCAGGGGAGTGTGAAGAGCAGTGCCCAGCCTTGTTGCTAAAGCTGGGGTAGAGACGGAGTCTCAGTGTCCCAGATGACCAGCACCTTCCTGCAGTGACCACGAAGAGCAGGACCTCCTCACTTGTGCAGATGCCATCAGGTAGTGATGGCTGCAGGAGCAGTGCTCACCTGCCAGGGGTCAGGAGGAGGGTGAGAGCGCCCACGGGAGCTGCTGCAACCAATCCGCCCCGCACCGCTACAGCTCTTGTCATGCCTGACTGAAGAGAAACGGGGCTGTGCAGCAGTGACACGCAGGTAACTGGAGCCCTGGACTGCCAGGGGAGGCAGGGATCGTGGCAGGTTGTGCCAAAATTGGGATTAGAAAAAAGGCTCAAAACTTGTTCTCTGGGGCAGAAGTTTTGAGCACTGCTGAGGAGCACAGAGAGGAGCTCTCATGTGCACACACACATTTATTCCTGTTCAATGGTTTATGCCTTAGCAGGGAGCAAATATGAAATGTTTTGGTATAGATCCCACGCTCCTTGGTTGTTGCCCTCTTGGTCTCTGATGCAGTGATGATCTAGTTCAATGCAGAAATGTCACCAGGGAGGAAAAGGAAAAGGAAAAGGAAAAGGAAAAGGAAAAGGAAAAGGGAAAGGGAAAGGAAAAGGAAAAGGAAAAGGAAAAGGGAAAGGGAAAGGGAAAGGGAAAGGGAAAGGGAAAGGGAAAGGGAAAGGGAAAGGGAAAGGGAAAGGGAAAGGGAAAGGGAAAGGGAAAGGGAAAGGGAAAGGGAAAGGGAAAGGGAAAGGAAAAGGGAAAGGAAAAGGAAAAGGAAAAGGAAAAGGAAAAGGAAAAGGAAAAGGAAAAGGAAAAGGAAAAGGAAAAGGAAAAGGAAAAGGAAAAGGAAAAGGAAAAGGAAAAGGAAAAGGAAAAGGAAAAGGAAAAGGAAAAGGAAAAGGAAAAGGAAAAGGAAAAGGAAAAGGAAAAGGAAAAGGAAAAGGAAAAGGAAAAGGAAAAGGTAAAGGAAAAGGAAAAGGAAAAGGAAAAGGAAAAGGAAAAGGAAAAGGAAATGGTAGCAGTCACGGGCCTTCAGAGCCAATATCCACCCCATCCCAGATACCGAACTTTATATTCTGACTTTAAGTCAAACCTCAATACCTCTCATGCCCTGGGCCTCATTTTGTTCATGGCATGAGTACAACTCCCACGTGGAAATCTTGAAGTTTTTGGACTAGTGTCAGTCTGGAGGATTTCAGTTGGTTGGAATTTCCCTGTTTGCTTACTCTGATTGCAAACTTCTGTTTTCCTGCAGGACTCTGCAGGTGACCAGGGGTTACACAGGCTGCCAGGGGCAGAAGGCTGGAGCCTCTGTAAGAGGCTTCTCAATGTCTTCTCTCCTGCAGTGCTGAGAAAGACATCAGGGCTCCAGAGCACCTTTCAGGAAAACCAAAGGGGAGTGGAACTAGAAATTCCTCCCACCCCAAAGGTACAGATGTACAGAAACCATCGCATTCTCAATGATCTTTATTTTTGAATATACAAAGAAGCAGGAACAGGCTGAAGACCTGCCTTGAACAGGCAAATATTCAGCACAGAGCAGAGGAGCAGACTCTTGCCCTGCGTTCAGCTTTGCTTCCAGCGGCTTGTCCAAGCTGGCGGTGTCTGTCATCTCAGCTGTCACCTCCAGATGGAGCCAGGCGGCGCCTTTACCGCGCCGCTCAAAGCTCCCTGTTCCGGGATTCCCCTCGAACACCGCAGCAAACAGGAGCTTGTTCGTACAATGGATAACCCCTATAATTCAAGTCATAACCTCGTGAGGCGGCTTTGCTGACAGAGATCACAACTTTTACCCTCCCTGCCAGGCTCACTCCACTCCTCAGAGGGCGCTCTCTGGAATAGATCCTCAGCACATGCTTTGGGAGCCTTAAGTGGAGAGCAATAGTCCCAGGTCATAAAGCCAGGGTATGCAGGAGGCTCTGCTGCTTCAGCTTTCTGCTTTCTGTTTCCTAATTCCATTTGTAGAACCTGATAAGTTATTTTCGTCTTTCCCACATACAGGTCTTGATGTGGTTATGTGGACATGATGCTTTCTGCTGAGTTTTCTGGTACCTAAATGGCTGAATATATCAAAGAAACCTTCATGATTTTCACTTCATGGCTTTCTGTGACAAGGGTAGCTTTGTGTTTTCAGCAGTTCTGACCCATGGGGACATGGCAGTGGCCACACAGGGCCCATAAAGGATAATGACTTCCATTAGCACATAAATATATATATAGATTGCATTTGTGTGAGACAGGTACTGAAAATACACATCATCTTCCTGTACTTGTCTTGTACTGTGTTCATTAACCTCTGTCTGCATCCATTTTTAAAGAGCATCCTAGTCAGTTGCTATTAGTGGCAACTCAGAAAATGTGGTGTGGTGAGCTAGAAAGGGCCTGAAAAAATCTGAGACAGCCTTCCCACAGTCAGCATGAAGTCCTTAGCAGTGTCAAGACCAGGGTTTAACAGCAACAGAGCCTGGATTAAGCAGGAAATGTATTACAGCCATATGAATGTCCTTGCCTTCTCCTTCTGTCCTGTACCCAATTCAAGCTGCTTTCAGAGAGGATGAGCACAGTGGAAAGAAAGAGGACATTTTCTCTTCTTTGGTGCACGGTGAAAGTGTCTCAATACAAGCATGACAGAGGTGGAAGGTGGAAATCTCCCATGGTAGTAGCCAGAGAGGTGTTTCTAAGGTTTTGTGATGTGCACAACATACTCTGTTCTTCCAGCCCAAGCCACCAAATATCCATGGATATCAGACCAAGAGGCAAACTCCACTAAGGGGTGGAGGCAGCATGTGAGGCACCAGTGCTGCCTGTGCTTCACTCCATCTCTCCACAGCTGTTATTGATGTCTGTTTATTTTCCGCATGCCCAGCAATGTGTTGCTATCCCAACTCCTTCCACCTCCCAGTGTTCACCTTCCCTGCAGGGCAGGGCAGGTGACTGACCCTTCCTAGAGTAGGATGCCAGTGCTTCCCTGGCCATGAGTCACTGGGCACAGGAAGTGGCTCCAGCCATTTGCATCTAGCTTGGGGCTCTGGAGCATCCTGGCCAGGACAGCAGAGCAGGTCAGGATCCTCCAGCTTTCCTTAGTTTAAGACTGTTCCAGAGTGTGCAGCACAATGAAGATGGTTTGTGACTTTTCACCTGGTGAAAAGAGAGACCAATCCAGTATCCAGTCCCTCTTTAGGTCTGTGTCTCCAAACATTCCCATGGAATCTGCTGTAGTTACTGGAAAAAATACAGTATTCTTTCTTTAGTAGAAAAATGACAAGATACATGTTTAATACTCTTTATTTAAAACAAGTCAGCATCTTCTTGAAGCAAAGTCTGTAGCAGTTTCTCATCATGGTCTGCTTTCCTAACTTACATGACAGATGTCCCCTCAGCTTCAGAAAACAGCTCTCCCAAAATAGCCTCCCAAGATGTCTTTGTATAACCCAAAACCTGGCTGACTCGACTCAGAGTAGCTTTCCAGTGAATTTGTAGGCTGTACTACATATGCTAACTGTGCTTTGACACTAACAAAAGCATTAGGGTATCCTAATATTTGATTGCCAGAGCTTGGCCTTGTCGGGCTCTTACTCTGTGAGGTATCAATGCAGCAGAACTTTGCTAATGTTAGAGTTTTACCACCTTGACAACACGCAGTCCCAGCTCAGGGACACATGCACCATGGGTCGATTGCTTTTATTACTCATTAACACAAGGTGGGTCTGTGCTCTCTGTTAAAGCCAAGCTATTTATGTCAGAGAGAGAGAAACTACTGCCAGTTTTGGGAAGTGGTCACCAGTCTAGTGACAAAACCATTTTTGCAGCAGCACCCCACTGAGGCTGCAGTCCCATGAGCACAGAAGGGTGGTGTCCTGCCTTTATTTCCTCAGTGTCTGACATACAGTGTAACACAGGGCCTGGAGCAAGAAGGAAGTGGTGATGCTGTGCCTTCATGCATGAAATACAGACCTCTCTGCAAACAGGCAAGCATGAGGTGTTCAGGGCCATGGGCTTGTTCAGCAGGAAGGGCTCGGGAGTCAGAGGTGATGGAGAGCTTTGGGAGGGGTTTCCCTAAGAGCTCTTCTGCTCCTTGGGCTTGTCTGCCCAACCCTTCCCATTCCTCCCTCCTGGTTGTACCCCCTCCGTTTTCCTGCTTCACACACCACCGTCCATGGCCTCTAAAGGTGTTCACCACAAGAGCACATCCTTGGATGTGAGATGTGTGCACAAATAAATTACAGAGCAGCGTACAGAGAAGTGTAACCCTTCAGCCATGCTCATTTGGTCACAAAACCTCGGGATTTAGCTTGGCTTTAGCTCAGTAACCCCAAGGAAAATAGTAAGACTTCTGAGCAGCCTATGATTTTTCTAGCAGGCAATACATAAGATTAAAGGAAAACAGGAAAGCAAAGGCATGTTCTGGTAGATGAGAGCTTAAAGGATTGGTAAGTAAAAACTGTCTTTGTACATGTGTGCGTGTGTGTCCGTGTATATTATACACACAGGTGTGATGTTTGCACACACTCCTTTAAAACAGCCTTTTTAGTCGCTCCAAAACAATAAATGCTAAAACAACCATTTCATTACAGTCTTTTCAGGTTCTCAAAGTACCACGTTCTCCTCAGTACAGTAAATTTAGTTTTATGGCTGCCTATGAAATCCCACACCTAAAAAACGCATAATCTCAATGATGTATTACTAACCCCATTTTAGAGCTGGGGAAAACGAGGCCCTGACTAAGTGCCTTTAGGTGGAGAGCCAGGAGTCCCAGCCCCGCTCCTCTTTAGCACCGGGGCAGGACTCTGTGCCTGGGCGTGGTGAGATCCGTATCGGTGAAAACGTGTGTGAGCTTTCCTGAAAGCCGCCGGGGAGAGCGCGCTGCCGTCTCCGCATACCAGCCCCGCTCCGCAGGCGTGCGCTGCCAGAGGAGCTGCCTAGTGGATCAGACACACCTTTTCTCGGCAAGTC